CGCTAAGGGCACGTGCCTTGGTTGCAGTTTGTCCCCGGCCCTGGTTGGGTCGTGAGGATGTGTCCCTTTCGCGTGGATGTTTCTCTCTCTCCCTTCCTCTCTCTCCCTCCCACTCTATCTGAACAAGAAATGGAAAAATGTCCTCGGGTGAGGATAAAAAAATAAATAAATAAATAAATAAATTCCTTTCTCCTGTGTTATTAAATTTATCCTCTGGCCCTGGCCGGTTTGGCTCAGCGGTTAGAGCATCAGACCTCAGACTGAAGGGTTGAGGGTTCAATTCCTAGTCAAAGGCACATACCTGGGTTACAGGTTCAATCCCCCCCCCCAGTCACGGTCGTTCAGGAGGCAAACAATCTCTCACATGGATGTTTCTCTCTCTCCCTCCCTCCCTTCCACTCTAAAAAAACCAATGGAGGTGGGAGCTGGGAAGAGAGGGTCAATGCAGGGGGGCATCTATAATACTTTCAACAATAAAAAAAAAAAAAAAATCAATGGAAAAAGAGCTTCAGGTGAATATAAAAATAATAATAATAAATAAATTTACCCTCTGGCATGAAATAAAAGCATCTCAAGATGACTTGTTTCTAATAAGCAGACATTAGAAAGGGTTCAAAAGAAAAATGGAAAGAATTTAACTTAACAGCTATAATATCAAGGTTAAATTATACATCTAGGCAGATGCCTTAAAATGTCCACTTAAAACACACGAGCCCTGAAAACAGGTACTGGGCTTGGTAAACTCGTGTGTAAACACTTTACAGGCCCTACCGAAGCCTTGCTTTTTACTGCCAGAGCCAGACTAAATATTAGACTTTGATAATATGCCTAAGGGTCGGTCACCTATTTCAAACACCTGAAGTCCTGGTGGTTAAAGTGGCTCAACTTAGTGGTCCTGTGGTACATACACTCCAGGAGCTGAATAACAGGAAGGCCCCCGTTTCCTAATCTGAAGCTGCATTAGGAAAGATAACTCCAAAATTACGCAGCTTTTTAAGTTTTTAAAACAAAGGGGTGTAACTGAGTCAAATAAGTCTGCCTTTTAGAATAGGAAACCTCACAGGTGAACACTGATGTTCATGTCACACACCGACACCGTTTGATGATAAAAAGTAAACAAAAGCAGCCCTGGCCGGTTTGGCTCAGCGGTTAGAGCGTCGGCCTGCAGTCCTGAGAGACCCGGGTTCGGTTCCCGCTAAGGGCGCGTACCTTGATTGCAGTTTGTCCCCGGCCCTGGTCTGTTGTGAGGGTGGCAACCACTCAATGTGTTCCTTTCACATCGATGTTTCTCTCTCTCTCTCTGTTCCTCTCTCTCCCTCCCACTCTACCTGAACAAAAAATGGAAAAATGTCCTCGGGTGAGGATAAAAAAAAAAAAAAAAAAGTAAACAAAAGCAGACCCATGTACCTGTATAAAAATGGTAGAAGGTTTAAAGCACTCTAACATAGCCATGCTTAAAGTTCTCCAGGGACCAATAATGTTTATTTTTTTCCCTTATATAGGAAATCCTAAAGTAACAACCTGTTTCAAAAACAAATATCTACTGTCAGCAAGAAAAACCACCAGATTTTTCATAAGTTTGCTATATTAATATGTAAGAAATATCCTAGAAAGCAAAAATTATAGCATAGAAACAAACAGAAACTTTGACAAGCAGCAAAATAAAACTAGTAAGCAGTAACTTGGCTGAAGTATTGAAAACAAATTACAGAGACATAACAAAAGTAAGCTCTTGACCTACAAGAAACTTAAAGTCCAAATCTAAAGAAGCATGGACGAGAGGAAAGAAAGGAAGTGTCCCACCAATGAGGCTGTCCTGGCATAGAATGCTCATTCATAAATAAATTTTATGGCCAAACACGGCCTGTAGTATTCTAACACACCCTGTTTTAAAGTTTGCCAAATTTCATCTGAGCTCAATAGCAGGGGGCCCACTTTACCTCTCCACTGCAACCCCAAGATCCTGCTGACAGATGAACAGAACTGCTGCTCTCTCCTTGCCAACCTACCCAGGGACAAAATTATGTTAATAACTAGTAGTGATAAATTCACTGAGCACTTCTGCAGAGCCAGGCACCATTCTTAGCTCCTGACCTGTATTAACTCATTCAATCCTCAAAATAACCCTATAAAATGGGTACTACTATTATTCTCAGATAAGAAAACTGAGGCAGAGAAAATGTAGCAACCTGCCCAAGATCACACTGTAACTGCATGCAGAATCTACAGCTAACCCATGAAGACTGGTTTCTCTCAGAATTTAAACTACTGAATGTAAGTTTCCCACATCACATCTCCAAAAAGGAGATAACACTGGTTCTTTATCCAGTTGGTTAAAAAGTTCTTTAAAGCCCTGGCCGGTTTGGCTCAGCGGTTAGAGAGTCGACCTGCGGATCAGAGAGTCCCGAGTTCGGTTCCAGCTAAGGGCACGTACCTCAGTAGCAGTTTGTCCCTGGCTCCGGTTGATGTTGTGTGGGTGGCAATCACTCAATGTGTCTCTCGCCTCGATGTTTCTCTCTCTCTCTCCCCCTCCCACTCTATCTGAAGATAAAGGCAAAAAAAATGTCCTCGAGTGAGGATTAAAAAAAAAAAAAACAATTTTCTTTGAAAAAACAGATCAAACTACTACATTAAGCACTTGCCATTTATAAATACAAAATATCTCTAAATTTCTTATATCCATCCAGACATTCAAACAACCAGTAATACATGCTTTGCAGTGTGTGTGTGTGTGTGTGTGTGTGTGTGTGTGTGTATAACCCATCTTCCGGAACAGAATTCTCTCATTCATTTGCCTATTCTATCTCTCTGGAATTAACTCAGAATAAAATACCTACAGCAATGTTTGCTAAGGACTTCTTTATCATTTGGCAACCCTCACGCATCAGAAGAAGCTGAGAAGTTTTCTTTATCCTAGAAATTCTATGTGATCACTACAGGGAACAGGATTTAACCACAACTACAGGGAATATGCATACTCAATCCCAGACTATTTTCTCCCCTCTGACAAAAGGAAATATAATGTGGCCCTACATGTTGAAAGATAACCAAATTATAAGAAAACAGATCATGACTGTTTCTGGAAAAGGTCAAATTAGTTTAACAGCATAAAAATGAATGATTCTGTTTGTGAATATGGTGAAGTAGCCAAATGATCAGACTGAACAAAAAGATGTGGAGAAAAGTATAAATAGTAATAGTATCCCATAACTTGCGGTCCAGGGACATTACCAACAATACATACGCTGGGAAAGTCCATTAAAAAAATATTTACCACTTGGACTTGAGAGAAAATTTTTTTCATAAATCTAGTAACATAGCAAAGAGAACTTTAAAATGTAAATTACACTGACATTTATATAGACTGATATAACATAAAACAGCTGACGGCCTGGAGGAAGTAAGGGAGCAAAAGACAGCATTAAAACTAGACATATGTCTGCCCCAGTCCCAGGGTGAAGGAGTCAGGAACCGGTGGGAAGGTCAGACCCACCAGGCCGTGCACCTGGGCCAGGACGCAGAAGAGAAAGATGGCCCATCAATCCTTCACCTCTCATGGAGACAAAACTTACTTTATGTCTCACAATCCAACCCTTCTTTTTACTGCAAAATGTTAGAGTTGGAAGAGAACTGAAATTAACTCAAAAAAATACTTGAGCATGTTTTAAAGAAACGCTAGTCCAATTCTCCCTTTTTCCATCTTCCCTTGGAGGAAACCAAGGCAGTTGGAAAATAACTTGTGTAGGGACCCAAACCTCCTGGGCAATACAGCTGAGAAAAGGATGTCCCTGCCCAATAAAGCATTTCTCTTATAAATCTGGTTACCTACCGTCACTATTATTGGTTTTTCAAAAACTTAGGACTGCAAAAAAAGAAAACAAAACAAAGGTGTCACCTGATGTTTACCACGCACATTACAATATGGACTTGGGGGAATAACATGCGTCTTGCCTCTGCTCGGCTTCTCCTCGCCCCTTACCAGAATGAGAGAGACGTTCTCTCCCCGGAAACGGGTAACTCAGATGACCTTCTTAGGGGAGAACTGGGAGGGGTGCACACATGTTCCCCAGACTACTGAGTCTTCTGATAGCGGACAGACTCAGGAGAACAAGCACTGATTTGGGGCTTCCCCTTGGATGAAAAGAAACACTTCCATCTTCTGCCAAGGTCTCCTTCTCAAAGAAAGCTCAGAAATGTGAAAGGCTGCCTACAGTTATTCCTATACGGGCGAGGGGGCGACAGTCCCTTGGTGAAGACGGGCTCCTCGAACCTGTGACTAACGCGGGGCACAGCCGTCGACCGCCAGGAACAATGAGCCTTTTGTTCCAGACAGTGGCAAGGAAACAACACCCTCCGGACAGTTTTCTTTCTCCACTGCACACACACCCCCTTTTTACACCCAGTGCCCGCGGTCACTGCCGCGTAGTTTCCCCTCGGTCAGAAGTACGGCCAAGCTGACTTCCCCTCCGAGCCGCTCCCACCGGCGGGGGATTCTAGAGAACTTCAGAGCCCGGGGCTGCTGGTCCGATTGGTTACTTGCAAGGAAAAAAGACTCCAAACTTCCCTTCAGTCCCCCAGCGGTGTGACAAACAAGCAATACCTCCGCCTTTTCCTGTCGAAGCGTAACACTGCCAACCTCCCACCCCGGGCAGAGGTGCCGGCCGGAACATCCCCCCGCCCCGGGCCGAGCGGAGCCCACGGGGGATCTCTGCGGAGGGGGCTCCTCCCGGCGCGGACTCCGGGAGCGGCGCCGCTGTGGACCGGAGCAGATGGGGGCCGGCCGTGTGGGCGCGCTGGACCCGTCGGAAGCCCAAGTGCAAACTCCGTGATCCTCCCTGCGTCCAGCTCGTCCCCCGGGAGACGGCCAGCATCGGGAGGCTGCCCAAGCCCTCAGGGACCCCGGGCTGGCGTCCCAGTAGAATCAGGGGCGGGGGCGGCGGTAGCCGGCCCCCGGGGCCCGTCCCCGCCTGGGTCCTAGTCCTCCCGCGGGCAGCACTCACGTATCTCTGCACGAGCGTCCGCACGAGGCTGCAGTCCATGGCTCCTCTGGCCGCGCCCGCCCGCGCTCAGCGCCCCGGCGCCCGGCTCAGCGCGCCCATGGGCCGGGGCCCGAGTGTGGCCGCGCGCCCCCGCCCCGGTCACTGCCAGGACGCGCCGGGCGGTGCGGGGGGCGGCCGCGGCCCCTCAGTGTTCATGCCCCGCCCGGCCGCTGGCCGGCGCGGTGGCGGCTGCCCGGCGGTGGCGGTGGCGGCTGCCCGGCGGTGGCGGCTGCCCGGCGCGGTGGCGGCTGCCCGGCGGTGGCGGCTGCTCGGCGGTGGTGGCTGCTCGGCGGTGGTGGCTTCGCGCCCAGGCTGCTGGCGGTGGGGCTGCCGGCTGGGACGGTGGCCCCGGCGGAACCTGCCGCTGTTCTGCCCCTCAGCTCTGCTCCTCGCCTTTGCTCTCCTCCCCTCTCCTCCCGGGTCCTCCGCCCGCCGCCCCTCTCAGCCCTGCCTCCGGCCGCCGGTCCCGGCGCGCACGTCACGAGCGCATGTGAGCATGCGCCCCGCGGCCCGCGGCCCCCGCCCCGGCAACTCGCCCTCGCACGCTTCTGCAGGCGCGCGCTCGGGCCCTCCCTCCCCACCTCCCTCCCCTCCCTCCCCCTCCCCGTCCCCCTCCCCCTCCCTCCCTTCGCAGGTCGGGCCGGGAGCCGGGAGAAGAGATGACCCCGGGGCGGGGGGCAGAGGCCGGCAGGTGGGGACGACTCCCTGTTGCTTCCGCCTCCGGGGCGGGTTCCGTGAGCCCTGCCCTAGGAGCCGGGGAGGCGGGGGCTGTGCTCCCAGCCCAGGGGGCTGAGCGGCTGCAACTGTGCGCTCTGCGCCGCGGGCCAGGGCGCTGTTCTGTGAGCCCTGCGGAGGCCCCCCTCGGCCTGCGTGCTGGGCCCCTCTGGCACTCCGATCTGAAACTTCAATCTTTCCCCCGAAGGCCCGGCAGTGGGAGCGAGCTCGCGGGGGTACCAGGAGGGTGCCGGCGGGGCGAGGGGGTGAGAGTGGGGACTTGGGGTCTCGTTGGGCTGGAGACCTGCTAACCCCAGTCGGGGCACGTATGGCCCCTCCTGCTTTGCCGATGAGATTGGGTAGAGGTGTGGCTCAGGTGGCTGCCCAGGGTCGCGCAGCTTTTCTGTGCTGGGCAAAGGTAAGCACAGGGTCCCCCACTGTGCTCCTTTCTAAAACTCGACCGGAACCCTAGCCCTGGCCTCCTGCCCTGGGTGTCCAGAGCTATAACAGTCGCACACTTGTAATCCGGCAGGGTTGAGGGGTTGGAGTCGGCCTTAGAACCTGTTACACCAGCCGCCACCCCCAGCGGGCAGCACTGTCCGGGTCTGGCTGGTCCAGCTCCTGCCTCCGCTCCAGCCTCCGCTTGGGCCGGCCACCGTGAGGCCATGCGGACCCGGGGATGGGGGTGTGGGAGGCGTGGGCTCCAGGCTTGCCCGGCCTCTAGTCCGGGGGCACACACACAGTGCACAAGCTCTGAACCAGGAGGAAGAGCTGTTCCATCGCACAGACACCACGATTTCCGTCCAAAGGAATGTGTGTTTCCCCAACAGTGAAACCAACTGTCTCTTCAACTACACAGTCAGCCTTGAATTAATTGATGCACTTTGTTTACAACCCCGTCTCCTTTCACAGGTCATCATCACTTGTGAAACCAGAGGGAACAACATCTTTAGCAGCCTGTAAGGAGCAGGGCTGCTGACCCAGGCAGGAATGCAATTGAATGTGAATTCCCCTGACTGGCTGTGGAAGAGAAGCAGTATTGGACGCTTTTTTAATTAGATATAGATGACTAGAAATGAGTACTAGTGAATGGTAATAGTGACTGAACTATCTGGATTCAGTAAAATGCTCCAGCTTTGGGTCAACTCATTGATTCTCCACGTACAAATCTACTCTCTGTCCTGCTCTGTGTGCAAAAGGCCTATGGCCATCATTAGTGGCTCTTCACCAAGGGGTGTCAGCTGCAGACTGGAGACCAAGGAGAGAAGTGGGAGTATTTCTTTCCTCTTTGTCCTGGTGGCACTCTGGGCCTGGCAGATGTGTGTGGCTCTGTGAGGGCAGTACCTGTTGGGCTTTAACTCATGTTAGGCTCCAGGAACTACTGTTCTTCCCCCCCACACCCCCCCACCCCAAGGCCTGGCTGTGTGTGTCTGCCTCCCACTGTTGCTGGTCCCTGGGTAACAGCATCCTTTAGTGAGCTGTTGAACCATGACTGCACTGCAGCAAATAGTCCCTTCATCACATTCTCTTCCAAATCTCCCCCCAAGAATGCCTTCTGCTTCCCTGCTAGAGCTGGATTTTGACTAGCCTTCTATGTTGCAAACTAACATTTGGGTGGGTGCAAAGATCACTTAAGTCTTCTGGATAAAGGTTGCCAGTCTTTCAGGAGTCTTTCATACAATGGTAAATGTTAATTTCATATTGTAGTAGACACCATGGCTGCCAGTGCAGCAACCATGCCCTCTTTTTCCTTGCTGGTAGAAACCCACCTTGGTCCAGGTGTCCACTTCCTACATGGCTAGGGTAAACTGGTTCATGTAAGCTAATCTTGGTAACTCTATTTTTCTTCCCATAATTGGTTTAAAACAAGTTTAAGTCAATGAATTCTGCTGTTGGGGAAAGTTTCCTCAGTTTTAAAAAGGCACATAAAGAGTCCAGCCAGTGTGATTCAGTTGACTGAGCTCCTCCAAAGGACTGAGAGGTCCCGGTTCAATTCCCGGTCCGGGCACATGCCCCAGATTGCGGGCTTGATCCCCAGTAAGGGGCATGCAGGAGGCAGCCAATCAGTGTTTCTCTTTCACATCCATGTTTCTCTCTCTCCCTTCCTCTCTCTAAAAAATAAATGAAAACTTTTTTGTTTAAAATCACATAAAGAAGAAATGCTCCTTGTTTTCTGCTAGATGTTGTCTGTCTGGATGTGATGTCTGGCTCTTTGCAGCCACTTTTTTTTTTTTTTTATCCTAACTCGAGGACATTTTTTGATATTTTGTTCAGATAGAGGGAGAAAGAGAGAGAAACATCGACATTAAAGGGACGCATCGAGTGGTCGTCACCCTCACTACCCAACCAGGGCCAGGAAAAACCGCAACCGAGGTACACACCCCTAGCGGGAACCGAACCCAGGGCTCTCTGGACTGCAGGACGACGCTCTAACCACTGAGCAAAACTGGCCAGGGCTCTTTTTTTTTTTTTTTGGTACTTGCCCCTAACAGGAACCAAACCCAGGACTCTCTGGTCTGTAGACTGACGCTCAACCACTGAGCCACACTGGCCAGGGCTGTTTGCAGCCTCTTGAATTCATGACAAGAGGTAACCTGAGGAACTTCCTCACTTTGGGGATGGCAGTGTGGAAAGATAAGAGCGTGAGTCCTTAATGACATCATTGATCCATTAACCACTCCTACCTTGGCCCTAACGTAGGATTTCATATCATGAAAGATAATTAAATATCCTTATTGAGTTGGATTTTTTTGTTACTAGTAGCTGACAGCATTTCAACTTTAAACCTATGGAAACTAACCAGTTAAGACTCTCTATTTATGTAACAGAAATCCAACTCACCCCGTGAACCAGTTATTTTTCAAAACACCGTAAACTGGAAAGCTTAAACAATATGAGTTATTATTTCTCAGGACTCTGTGGTTTGGTGAAATGCTTCTTCTCCACCTGGTATTGGCTGGGGTTGTTCAGGCATCTGCATTCTTCTGGCATCTGAGCCTGGAAGGTTCAGACAGCTTCTGTTGCATATTAGTGTCTGACCTGGGTAGATGGGAAACTGGGAGCAGATTGGCCTCTCCGTATGGTTTCTCATTGTTTAGTGGTCTAGCCTGAACTGCTTTCCATGACAGCTAGATCCCAAGAGGGTCAGAGTAGACATGATCTTACCCCTAAAACCTAACCTCGAAGTCCCAGAACATCATCTGTCACATTCTGCTGAGGAAAGTAAGTTCTAATGTCAGCTCATATTCAAGGGGAGGCAGCAGAAGATATTTTGCTTCTTGGTGGGAGGAGGACCTCGTACATAAAGGGATGAAGAATTTGTCAGTGGTCACCTTTATAAATAATCTATCATAGACAGACTTAAACAATAAGGGAATGTATTTGTGCCATGTTGGAGTATATTGGCAATACCACAGTAAGTTCACAGTGCACTGCCTGCCAGAAACTCCAGGGTCTACATGTTTCTTCATTCACATCCAAAGGGAAAGGAAATTTTCACTTAGATGGGAACAGCTCAGTCATGTGCCCCATTCTTGGCCAATCAATCACTAGGCTGTTGGAATGCCACCAGATGATTGCCTTAGGCCAGGGTTGAGTGCAGATCCTTGACTAGTAAATGTCTAAGGAGAATGGAATGATCTTAATCAGCTTTAGATCATCAGGACCTACCCCTGACCCACTAACAGTATGACTGCTTCACCATTGTGGATTGATGTGATATATCAGGAGGAGGAGAAGGCAACAGGCAGGATGCAAACCCCAGAACAAATGAAACAGTGGATCTGCAGCTGGATGTTCAGGCTACACCTACACCCACACCTGTGTGTACTCATAAACACCTGCTCTCCACTCCTCTTTACCTCAGAGGGGACTAGGATGGAAAGCAGGAAGCTTGGATTCATTGACTTCAAAGTGAAAAAGACTTTTGGGAAATAAGGGAGGGCCAAAAACTGGGGCCTTCTTGCAAAGACAATTCAGAACAATTATTGTTACTGGGCCCTCTAATGACAAACCTGAAGCTAAAACTGGCTACTGAAAACAAAACAGCAAAGTGTGTTACTACATGTTTCATATTCAGGTAGGCGAAAGAGAAAGTGCTATATGTTAGGGGACTTGGCCTCCTCAGGTGAGCAATCTTGCTCCTCCAAGCTGTTGGAACATTCTGTACATTTTTGCTTGGGTCACTGTTACCACAGGTTCAGAATTATGTCAGTACCATCTTCCCATGATTGTTTTAGAATTCTTCAATGGCAAAAACTTGATTTCCTATACCTCCCACAGGCTCCCCTCTCACCT